TGCTAAATTAGGGACGGCTAGCGCAGATAGCCCTCGTGTAGCTTTGCGCGAAATTCCAAAACAAACAATCTTTAAATTGAACAAAGAATTTCTGAGTAAAGAAAACGAGGTGTATGTTTGGAAATTCTGACCAGTTGATACATATTTTTGTTCATTTTCCTAGTAAGTGCCAGCTTATAATGAAAGTAGAAACAATAATTTTCAAAGCATTTAAATGTGATTCATGGTTATTTTGGTACTAGAAACTGTATAGAGCAGGATATCACAGCTACATGTACTTTAAGAGGATGATATATTAATGAATAGCATCCAAACTGTCTCCATACCCTGATCTGGAGCCTCTACATGTTCACTGTTGGAAAGTACGTGGGCGTTGGCCTTCCAGGGATTGAATGTTTAATATCGTCACACCCAACATAATATGTACGTTCAAGATGGAACACAGAATTTTGTCACAATGGCCGAAATACTTTAGTAATTGTACGGTGTAACATATGGGTAGTATCTAATTCATTACAAGTTATATAGCCACGGAAGTTTAGGATGAAAGGTTCTTTTAGGTGAAAGAGAGAAGGAATTGTGTTTTCATTAAGTACCCCACGCGTAGATATGAAACAGTTATATTCACTAGACAGACATCACAGCACATTCTATAAGAAGAGACAAACGAAACGGTTTGTTTCTCAAATTAAACAAAACATACAGATTTATAAAGGTGCGTATTTCACTTTTGGTGGTTATTGTGTATCTAAGAGAAGTACAAATAGTCCTTCAAACCTTAAAAGACAGTCTGTACAAATAGTCCTTTTCAAGGTGGAAGGACTCTTTGTACAGACTGTGTTTCAAGGTTTGCAACCTTGAAGCCTTCACACACTATTTCTATTATAACTACATCTCTTTAATCCTCTTATCATAGTAGTTTGAGAGCATTTGTTTTTTACTAAACTTGTTTTTGTGAAAATACATAACCATAAAATCTTATGTGATGCTCACATCTAGAATGAATCTTTCACACAAGAGTGATTAAAAACCTTGAAACACAGTCTATACAAAGAGTCCTTCAAACCTTGAAACACAATCTATACAAAGAGTCCTTCAAACCTTGAAACACAGTCTATACAAAAAGTCCTTCAAACCTTGAAACACAATCTGTACAAAGAGTCCTTCAACCTTAAAAGACAGTCTGTACAAATAGTCCTTCAAACCTTGAAACACAGTCTGTACAAAGAGTCCTTCCACCTTGAAACACAGTCTGCACAAAGAGTCCTTCAACCTTGAAAAACAGTGTGGTTATTGTGTATCTAAGAGAAGTACAAATAGTCCTTCAAACCTTGAAACACAGTCTGCACAAAGAGTCCCTCAACCTTGACAGACAGTCTATACAAAAAGGTCCTTCAAACCTTGAAACACAGTCTGTACAAAGAGTCCTTCAGCCTTGAAACACAGTCTGTACAAATAGTCCTTCAACCTTGAAAGACAGTGTGGTTATTGTGTATCTAAGAGAAGTACAAATAGTCCTTCAAACCTTGAAACACAATCTGCACAAAGAGTCCCTCAACCTTGACAGACAGTCTATACAAAAAGGTCCTTCAAACCTTGAAACACAATCTGCACAAAGAGTCCCTCAACCTTGACAGACAGTCTATACAAAAAGGTCCTGCAAACCTTGAAACACAATCTGCACAAAGAGTCCC